GCGATTTACATTCATTTAAAACGCTTCAGGTGTGAGTCTGTCAGACAGCAAGACGAGACGGCAAAGAGTTGTTTTCTGCAACTTATTGCACTTAACTCTTTTTAACGTCAAGCAATTCTCTGCTATAAGCGTCGAACTAAAACTTTGACCTTTTGCAACGTTTTGATTCAAGTAGCCTATTATTAAAATGATTCAGATATCGAAACGCCCTTGCGATATTCATATTGCGATATTTCGATAATTTCGATATATCGTGCAGCCCTATTCTTTAGTCATATAAATACAGTTGTCATGTGCGTGGGTAAAATTTACCCGCTGGCGCTTTTAGGTATACAGCGAAACCGTGACACATTTCCTTTTTCAGGATTCACAGATGAATAGAAAGTTCAAAAGAGCAGCATTTATTTGAAGTAGAAATCTTTTGTAACATTATAAATGTCTTTACTGTCACTTTTGATCAATTTAAAGCTCGATTACCTTTCCTTCTTTGATCTTGGTGCCGATGATTTGTCTTCTCTGCTGTACGATGTTTATCAGCGTGTCGCACTCTTCTGCCAGTTTGCTCTCCTGGTGAGCTGCATTGTGCTGAGATAAAATGATCAAATCAATCAACAAACAATGGAAAAGCTAAAAAAATAACACAAATGTGCACAAAACGCAAATTAAATAAATAAATTGGAGGCTGGCAGCATGAAGTTGCATGCCTAAAATCACAGTACGTGTGGTTTTATTAAACAAAAACAAGAGTGATATAATAAAAGACAAATATTTTATTTTAAAAAAAGTCATTTATTAATAATAATAATCATCAGAATAGCTGTATAATATAAGCAGAATAACATCTGTCTGGCTTTAAATAAACTTAAACTTACTTTAATTATTTACTTTATTATAAACTGACTAATAATGTCAAAATAGTGCCAAAAAAATCCTAATGGTCGTAAAAATAGGCTTAATTTATTTAAAATACAACTAAACTTTTTTTTTTTTTCAAACTTAAAAATTATATAGACATCATATATATATAAAAATCTAATTAAATTATGACAACAACAATATTACTAAAACGTTAACTAAAATTAAAATGAAAACTGGAAATATAAAAATAAAATCTAAATCTAAAACTATACATAAAAAAAGTAATTACTTGAAATAAGGTAAACATTAACTGAAATAAAATATATATTTAAAAAAAACTTTATTTTAGCTAGCTGCAAAAGCAACATTTTTCATTTTCATTTAGTTGAAGTACTAAAATAACTAAAACTTAAAAACTATATTTACATCATTAAAAAAAAAAAATAATAAAATCACCAAAAAAATAAATTACTAAAATTAAAATTAAAACTGAAAATATAAAAATAAAATCTAAAACTACAACTATAAAACATTTTCATTACTTGAAAAAAGATACAAATTAACAGAAATAAAATAAAATAAAATAATAAGAAAAGTACTTTATTTTAGCTAGTTGCCAAGGCAACATTTCTCATTTTCATTTAGTTGAAGTACTAAAATAAACTTTAAAACAAAAATTTAACTAATAAAAAACAACAAAATTAGTTTAACTTTAATGAAAGTTTGAACGAATTACTGTTACAAGAACATGTTTTCCAGCTTACAAGTGAAGAATAGAAATAAATATATATATATATATATGTGACCCTGGAGCACAAAATCATGTTCCATGAAGATATTTTGTAAATTTCCTACTGTAAATATATCAAAACTTAATTTTTGATTAGTAATATGCATTGCTAAGAACTGCATTCGGACAACTTTAAAGATGATTTTCTCAATATTTTTTTGCACCCTCAGATTCCAGATTTTCAAGTTCAGTTGTATCTCGACCAAATATTGTCCTATCATAACAAACCATACATCAATGGAAAGCCTATTTATTCAACCTTCAGAGGATGAGATGATGCATAAATCTCCATTTTGAGAAATGTACCCTTATGACTGGTTTTGTGGTGCAGGGTCACATATATGATATACATGTCATAAATATGTAAAACAAACATTAAAGTGGATATAATGAACTCATCTAATCTGAAAGAGCTGAAACAATGCTGCAGAAGGACTGAATGTCTGCTTTACCTCCACATGCTGACACGTCTGGATCAGCTTGGCCATCAGGTTCTCCAGCTCACTGTTCCTCTTGATCAGATTGCTGAGGTTGAAATCCAACATTTGCTGCGGAAAAACAACAGAAATATCATATCAGCAGAGTTTAACTCACTGAGGGGGCAACAGCCAAACTGAATCATCTAGCAAGCATCCTACATCCATTATTGAGTTTAGAGAAGCGGGTGGTTTCTGCTCCGGCGTTTGAAGCGGGACTCGCGCACTGATGCTCTGATCTGTTGTTAAGCATGATAAACGTCGTGTGTCCGCGAGCCCGCGGGCCTGGGGGGGGGAGGGAATAAAGCGTCCGCCACAGATTTGGCTTTAGAAAAGCAGATCAAGTCTATTTGATGAGCTCCAACCTCATTTCAGCTTGTGTTTCTGCTTCACATCAACAGACTAACAGTGGAAAGGCTTTTATTTAGCATTTTTCTAGTTTAATACAAAATGTTAGAGTTAAAAATAATATTATCAGATGATTTTATGAGCGAAAATGAACATGAAATGGCTGGGTTATTATCGTTATCTAAAACTATATTAAATAATTTGCTAACATTTTACAATAAGGTCCCATTAGTTGCAGTTAGTTAATAATATTATATAAAGAAAAGTATTTTATTTTAGCTAGTTGCCAAGGCAACATTTCTCATTTTCATTTAGTTGAAGTAAATTAGTAATTTAGTTTAAATTTAATTAATAAAACACAACAAATGTGCTTAACTTTAATGAAAGTTTGAATGAATTATTGTTACAAAAACATGTTTTCCAGCTTACCAGTGACGAATAGAAATAAAAACATTTGTATTTTGTGATAAATACGTAAAACAATATATTAAATATTTTGCTAACACTTTTACAATAAGGTCCCTGTTAGTTAATGCATTAACTAAAATTAACTAATAATGAGCTATTCTTTTGTCACAGTATTTATTAATCTATGCTAACATTAGTTCATGAAAATATAACTGTTCACATTAGCTCAGGTCCATTAAATAATATTAACAAAAACTAATTTTGATTTGAATAATGTATTAGTAAACATGGATATTTACATGAACTAAGATTAATAAATACATTTTTAGAATTATTTTTCTTTGTTAGTTCATGTTAACTAATGTTAACAAATGCAACCTTATTGTAAACTGAGATTAACTGAGATTTTTAAAAAAAGTCATTATTTTCAGCTAGTTGCCAAGGCAACATTTCTCATTTCCGTTTAGTAATAAAATAACTAAAACTAAAAACTAAAACTGAAAAACTATATAGACATAATGAAAAAAACTAAATTGCTAAAGCTTTGACTAAAATGAAAACTGAAAATATAAAAATAAAATCAAAAACTCACTCTACAAAAAATAATGCATTATACTTGAAATAAGATAAACATTAACTGAAATAAAATATTAAAAACATACTTTATTTCAACTACATCTAATTTTCATTTAGTTGAATTACTAAAATAACAATAACTAAATAAACTAAAACATAATAAAAACTATATAGATATTTTAAATAATAATAACGAATGACAAAAACAACAAAATTACTAAAACTTCAACTGAAATTAAAATGAAAACAGAAAATATAAAAATAAAATCTAATTAAAATATTAATAAAACATATAATAGTATAATAAATCATGTTTTTGATTTAAAGGTGACATATTATGCCCCTTTTTACAATATGTAATATAAGTCTCTGGTGTCCCCAGACTGTGTCTGTGAAGTTTCAGCTCAAAATACTCCACAGATCATTTATTATAACATTTTGAAAATGCTCAGCTCAAAATACTCCACAGATCATTTATTATATCATTTTGAAAATGCCTATTTTGAGTGGAAGCAGAAACACTTGTTTTTCGGGCCTGTCTCTTTAAATGCAAATGAGCTGCTGCTCCCCGCCCCCTTTTCCAGAATAGAGCTGCGCCATTACAGCTCGTATCTGCAAAAAACATCCGTTTTGGTTCTGATTATCATGTTGATCGCGCTGAAATCATGCGTTTTAAACCATACGAGTTTAAACTTCTGATATACGGTTTTCTGAGCGCACACATCCGAAGCACACGCACAGAAAGCGGCTGTCACAGCATGTGAGTACTAAACTAAGTTCTCATGTTAAAAACACATGAGTTACAAAAACAGATGGTTATGTCTGTGAAGGTAAACTGCTGGGAAATAAATCGCATGTTTATTTTATATCTGTGTATCAGCTGCAATATACAGTAAATAAATCAATAAATCCTCTGCTCTGTTGTCTCGTCTGAGGCTGGGACTCTAAACAGTGTTCTGTGCTCGTCTGTGCAGCCAGCGACAGAACAGTTAGCATGCTTTGCTCAAACTTTCACCATGGCATTAGAGCTGGTGCACCGTTGTCACTTGTGAAATCAAAATAATTGGGTGGGTGGAAATTTACAGATTAAGGGACGGTAATATTTTAATGAGATCCCTTTGCCACGTCACCAAGGGAGCGGAATCAGACGCGCTCGTTTTCTCAGACGCTTGCAGAAAAAGGCTTCCCAAAACACAGTTACTGGGTTAATCTTTTTCACGTTTCATTGGTTGGTAGATGCACCGGGGACCTGATTATAGCACTTACAACCTGGAAAAGTCAGATTTTCATGATATGTCACCTTTAAGATCAAGAAAATCTGACTGACCGTCTGTACAAAGAAGTCCACATGCTCACAATATGACACTAAATTGCCTAATTGTTTAGCGACCTAGAAACAGTGCACAATATTAAACATTTCTTCATTTCCTTAAGGATATATTTAATAGAACAATCAGCTGATTCATTGGTCTGGCCAGTAAATGAAGCAGCACATGCCTGTAAAATATGACATTTGAGCGTTTCGTTTGTAAGGTTAGGAAATGAGGTCGGTGAGTTCAAACGATGACAAGAGACCAAAGAGAGCATGTGTAATGTGCACGCCGCTAAAAATAGATGGAAATCATATTCTCTGCTGGAGATCTGATTTACTGTATGGCATTTAATCCCTGATACATTTTCTCAGATTATACGTCTCTGTTTATCTTTGGGATTTTAACACGAAATACTTCACTTTGGGAAATCTGAAAAACACAGCAGATTATGCACAAGGTTACTGGGGAACAGTGATGAATATTGCAGTGATGCAGTCATTTCAAGTCGAGCAATAATGCAAAATGGTGAATTTGACATAAGCAGGCCTTTTTGTCCTGCATTTTTGTGCATGTGGGTGTGCTTATTTGGAAGTATGCATGCAGAATTAATTATGGGCGGTGAATCACACGATGCAGGATTATGCACTCTGCAAAACGACAAGTTGATTCTAATTTAACCTAAACTGGAGAACGAGCAGGTCGGAGCATTTGCATCAGCATTAAAGGAATAGTTCACTCAAAAATGAAAATTTGCTGAAAATTCAGACACTCTCGGGCCATCTGAGATGTAGGTGAGTTTGTTTCTTCACCAGATTTGGAGAAATGTAGCATTGCATGACTTGTTCACCATCTCTTCTTCACTGGAGGAAGCGTTATTATGGATTATTACTATTTTGAATTAGCCTTTATTTTTATATTCTACATTTTCATTTTTATATTTTCAGTTCTTGTTTTCTACCCCAATGTTCTTATGTGATTTTGTCATTTTTATTAGTTGTTGTTTTTTTAATATTTCTATTTAACATAAATTTATTTTTATTTCCATTTTAGTTTTACAAATTTTAGTACTAAAACTTATTTTTTAGTTTTAAAGTAGTTTTAGTAATTTTTTATTATTTTTTATCTTATATTTTAGTTATTTTCAGTTTTAGTGATTCAATTTTAGTTTTAAATTTAAGTTTGTCATTTTAATGTCAATTTAGTTTTTATTATTTTCTTTATCTCAGTTTAGTTTTTTTCAGTTTTAGTTTTAGTCATTTTAGTACTTAAAAGTAAAAATACTTATTTCAGTTGACATTTCTAATTTTCATTTAAGTTTTTTAAGTTTAAGTTCTTCATATAATATTTATAATTTATTTTATTTCAGCTTTATTTCAATTAACGAAAATGGTTTTAGGTAACAATAGCATCACCAATTAGAGCACAAAAGTAATTTCCTGAAGTTTAAATCCCACTCCAAGGTTTCTACAATGCATGATGATTAAACCTGTTTAGCAGCATTTGTAGATGTGCAAAACACAATAAACGATCCTCACTGTTGATAATAATACACTAGTAAGAAATTCTAGCATCATTTACCCTCAGGAGGTGTTGTGGACAACTGCACAATTGTAAAGCTAACACTAGCATTCCCATTTTTTCCTATACAATGCGTCATCTTCAGAGCATTGAGCAAAGAAAGGCCATTATAATATGAAGTTGGAGAAATCCCACATGACTCTGAATGGACCGGTGAACATCACTTACAGCACCTTTTAAGTTTTTTAGGCCACAGAGTTATTGTGATGTTTTTATCAGCTGTTTGGACTCTCATTCTGACGGCACCCATTCACTGCAGAGCATCCATTGCTGAGACACTGATGCAATGCTACATTTCTCCAAATCTGATGAAGAAACAAACTCATCCTAATCTTGCATGGCCTGAGGGTGAGCACACTTTCAGCAAATTTTCATTTTTGGGTCAACTATTAACATTACCAAGTCAAGGTTTCTACAATACATGATGATTAAACCTGTTTAGCAGCATTTGTAGATGTGCAAAACACAATAAACGATCCTCACTGTTGATAATAATACACTAGTAAGAAATTCTAGCATCATTTACCCTCAGGAGGTGTTGTGGACAACTGCACAATTGTAAAGCTAACACTAGCATTCCCATTTTTTCCTATACAATGCGTCATCTTCAGAGCATTGAGCAAAGAAAGGCCATTATAATATGAAGTTGGAGAAATCCCACATGACTCTGAATGGACCGGTGAACATCACTTACAGCACCTTTTAAGTTTTTTAGGCCACAGAGTTTTCAGTTGTGTTTCAAAGTGCCTCGGCCTGCACAAAAATAGAAGCTTTTATCCGAACCACTAAATCATTTATGCAATACATGTTCAGGTGTGAAGAGCCATAGAAAGGTGGAGAAAATGTTGAGCAGGAGCTCCTATTGTTAGCAAGCATTAGAGAAATTTCAAAATGGGATCCATTAAGCGTACGAAACACTGACATCTCAGAGATGAACAGATTTACAGTAAAATGAAAGGTGCTTAGTTGTATAATGTGTCTCAGATCAGATCTCATTTCCAATTTGAA